TATTTATTTATTTATTTATTTATTTATTTATTTATTTATTTATTTATTTATTTATTTATTTATTTGTCATTAGGATATAGAACCCGTTGTTAATGTATTTGAATCCCACCACTGCCATCACCCCGTTTCCCCCAGTCACTGAAAAGGATTTCCTTCCTTCCTTCCTCTTTGACCTGCAGTCACGTGATCTTTTATCTTTCCTTTCTTTTTCAACCTTCTCTATTGTCTCAGTTTTCTCTCACCCCAGTAAGTATGAGGATTTCCTATGGACCTGCCTTTTCTTTTTTTTCCTCTCTTCCTCAACTTTTGGAACCTAGCATGCGACCGGTTCTCACATCCATGGATCTTTGGCTTCCCGATTCCCAGCCCTCAGGTAGCTGTAACTGGGGATCCATCCTTCTGCTCTCCTTCAGCTCCTCCTTCTCCCACCTCCTGTGTCTCCTCCCTATTTCTCTCCTTCGCGCTCACCATTATTCCTTTCTCCTCCCCTGATTCTTTTCCCGTGCTTTTTTCTAACTGCATGCTCTCTGCTGCCATTGGTCCTTCTCTCCCCCTTCCTGCCTGCCTTCTGGAGCATTGACCTTCATTGGTAAAGTGTTTTCCAGGTTCTCTAAAGCCCTAGGACTCTCTGTCCGTCGGAATGGATCTAGGCTTACGGCTAAGAGTCCGGCCTCAATTGGAGAACTGAACATTTTATATCCAAAGCTGGAGAAGAAGAGGATGACACACCAACGGGAAGGCTGATAGTTTTGTCACCTTCCTTATGGACCCTCATTTCATATTTTGCATTTGAAGGTGTTTCTTTTACTTTTTAATTTGTTATATTGGGATTATATCTGCTTATTCTGTTATGATTTATTGTACGTTGGTTAGAGTTATTTTGTTAGGTGCCAGTTGTGCTCTAAACTTTTTTTTTTTTTTTTTTTTTTGCTAATATTGATGATTGATTAATAGGAATGTGGGGATTTTTGTTTTTTGTTTTGCTGGTTGTCTCGTTTGTTTATATTATATGAACTGCTCTGAGTAGTGATTTCACTATGTCAGATGGTCTATAAGCTTTATATATACATAAAATAAAATCCTATTTTAAAATCCTATTAAATCGCTTTGCTTTTTAACGCCTTCCCATTCTGGAAAAAAGGCAGCCAGCCAAACATCTGACCAGTCCCCAATCAGCCTTAAAAGATGATCTTGCTCTGAAAAATTACCTTTCTGCAGCTGAGCTCCAGAGGAAAGACCACCTAGAAGCAAAGAGGCAAAAAACAAAACATTTCAATCACCAAGCTATTCTGTCTATAACAGTTGTCACAAAAATCTCCATTCATAATAAAGCACCTGTTTTTTCCTTATTTCAAGCAATGAGTTAGTGAAACCTGGAAAGAAACAGATGTGTAATTGGAAGTACTCTCACTGTAAGTACCGCCAAATTGCTTATAAAATGGAAATTGTTCCCTAGTTTGGGTGTTGAAGGGTTGTGGGATGACATTGGGGTGGTTCATAGATAAGGACCTGGAAGAGGGAACTTACAGTGGTGCCTTGTTTGACGACGATAATCCGTTGCGTTCAAATCGCTGTTAAGCGAAATCGTCGTCAAGTGAAATTTAAAAACCCATTAGAATGCATTAGAAACCGGTTAATGCATTCTAATGGTTGAAATACCTCATCGTCCAGCAAAGATCCTGCATAGGCCGACCATTTTCTAGTGCCTGTAATGCGAGGAATCCGTCCCTAACACAGCGGGGAGCCATTTTTAAACCCGACAATCAGCTATTTTCTGATCGTCGTTAAGCAACAAATCGATTCCCGAAGCAGGCGTCAAGCGAAAAAAACCCATAAGAATACCATTTTGCGATCGCAATAGCGATCACAAAAAACCCATCGTAAAGCGGATTCATCATTTAACAAGGTAATTGTTAAGTGGGGCACCACTGTACTTTAAATCATCAGGATCCTTTCCTCCAATAAGCCAACAACAGCATGCCTGACGGTTCCACAAAGCCTTCCATCACAATATTTTCCAGGACTAGACAAGGTCAGGACTGCTTCCAGACAAAGCTTTTATTGTGTACAAACCTGGCTTTATCCTCTGAACTTTAGAAGGGGTCCAGTTGTCCGTGTCTTCCATCTGTAACTCTGCCATGTTTCCCATTATATTTTCTATCTTTTTATGGAATCCTTCCAGCTCCACATTTAACTCTGAAAGAGGAAGCATCTTAGAGACAGCGGGCAGTAGTAATAAATGAAAAAGATCAAAGGGAGTTTTCTGAAAACCTTGCAATAACATATGTTCAAAAAGTAATGTCCGCCAGAGTTTGAAGATTGCGGTTCGCCTGGTCTTACCTTTGAATTGCTTCATGACATTTGCAAGGAAGGTTTTTAAGTTAGAGACTTCTGAGATCATCTCCGTCAGCTCAGGAGGCGAAACCCCAGGGTTCTCAAACTTGCCTCTCAGCTCCATCCTGAGGCAAAGAAATATTTTGGGGTCACTATTTATTTGATCCAGAATTCCTAATTAGAAAACAAAATATCTGTGTGGGAAGGGGGCAAACAGCAGAAAGCTTTAAAAGACAGACAGATGCTGAATGGCAGGCAAAAAGGAGGACAAAAATGGAGAGAAATCCAGCTGCGTAGAAAGCAATCAATCTACTGAGAAGACTCTACTGGGGAAAATAATAGATCCTGTCCACACTAAGCATTGTTCAGCTTTTCTCACAGCTATGATAGCGGTACTGCACCCTGGTGTCCACACAACACAGAGATAAAAATGGCTATATACTGAGAAGGCTAAGTTTCGTTGGTCTGCAAGGACCTGAATCTGGATCTCCCAAGTGCCAGTCCAGTACTCTAGCCATGAACCACATATGAATTAGAAGTGTTCTCTTTTGTGTGTTTGAACAGCAACTCCCGGGATTGATCAAGAATTCCTCTGGCAGAATTCTGAGAGTTGCCACTCACAAGCACAGACCTTAAGAGAAGGGTTATCATGTTATTTATCTCCCATGCTGCTGCATTTCCACCTGTTGCTAATTTAGAAAGAGGGGGGGAAGGAAGGAAGCTGCCATGCTGGGAATCATAGTTCTTCAGGAGGCACCCTTGATAGCACCTCATTGGTAGTATGACTCCCAACATACTCCACACCCAGAAGGATCCGTTCCCTGTGGGTCAGTCACCAACAGGTGGGAGTGCAGCTGGTGAAGTTCAGCAACATGACCTGACAGCCCTTCTCTAGGTGGTTGGAACCTATGGGTCAGCAGATTTGTGTCTGTGGGCTGCAACTCCCAGAATTCTGCCTGGGGAATTCTTGATAAATTCTGAGGGCTGCAGTCCTAATATACAAAACAGCACATCTCTAGTACAAGTATGATAATTTGGAGATGAAAAAAATGGTCTCGACTGTAATTTTTCAGACACTGGTACACAACATCATATTAATCCTTTACCCCAGAGCTTGAGGCCATTTCTGTTAGGTAACACCCAGCTTCAATATCGTCAACGGAAAGAAGTGGCATCACTTACCTCTGCAAAGTCCCTCTGATATCCTGGAGTGGAAAAAGGGAGAAAGAGAGAGAACTCAATGCAAACCATATAAGCCACACTCTGGAAGATGATGCCTTTTGTCACACTTATATTCAGGTGAGGCATATTTTTATTTTATTTATTTATTTATTGGACTTATATACCGCCCCATAGCGCTACAAGCACTCTCCGGGCGGTTTACAATTTTTTTTTAATTATACAGGCTACACATTGCCCCCACAGCAAGCTGGGTACTCATTTTACCGACCTTAGAAGGATGGAAGGCTGAGTCAACCTTGAGCCAGCTACCTGGGATTTGAACCCCAGGTCGTGAGCACAGTTTTGGCTGCAGTACAGCGGTTTAACCACTGTGCCACGAGGCATAGCGCCTCCCACTCATGATCTGCTGCAGGAACTTCTCAAGATGAGGACAAACAGTTGCCTTAGTTTCTTGTGTCAGAAAGCCAACATGCCAAGTGGAACCATTGTAACTAGAGATGGCGATATTCATATTCATAAACGAATATAAATATCTCAGTCGCAGCTGAACCTAATGAGGGTCCAGCCCACAGAACTGGCCCGTCTACTCACATGTCCTGGAGTCTCAAAGGTCCACTCTTCCCACCAATTGTGGCAGCAGCTCTGTCGTCTCTCTGCTCACCTGGCCATCCCAGGCAGGGGGCGGAGGTTTGGGTATCCCCACATGGCTGCTGAGTGGCCAGTTGAGTGGCCAGTCAAGCAGGGAGACAGTGGAGCTACTGCTCCTGTTGGTGGGAAGAGTAGGACCTTCGTGGTGCCGGGATGCATGAGTGGACAAGCTAGTTCCAGGGGCTGGACCCTCATTAGGTGCAGCAGGGACGGGGATATTCGTATTCATGTACGACTACAAATATCCCCGTCTCTACTCAAGACAAACCAGCCTAATTAAAATGGAAACATCTAAATGGACAATAGGAAAAAAAAACTATACACTATTTATTTGAATCACGATGCAAGGAGTGAAAGAACAGCAAGACTTTCCAGCAGAAGCAACGGGCTTCCTCTGCCTTCTTTCACAATGTCAATAGTTGCAAGAGATGGTTTAAGAGATCCCTTCTGGAACTACAAAGCCACTTTCTCTGAGGCAAATGGGAGCACAATCAAACTCCTTTGCCTGCCAGCTGAACAGTGCGAGCCAAGAGGTAGCAATGGGAGAGAGAAGCTTAAGATACATAAGGGAAATGCTCGCACAGATCCTCTAACAATGTTTCCACTGGAAAGGAAGGCCTTTCCAGAAACTCAGGACTTCACTAGAGAAAGGTATAAAAATATGATGGCCAAATGAAATGCCTACCCAGTCCAACAGCATAGTCTCCTCATTAGTGAAACTGCATCCCCTGTGTCACAATCCCCAGTAAAGGATACTGGCCCAAATCCTGTTGTTTAGCATAGTAAACTGCACTAGAGTAGGCCCACTGAACCAACGGGGATTTACTGAGTTAACTCTTTTGTAGCTTCCATAGGTTCAAATGGGCCTACAGGAAGAGTTGACTCACCAACTTCGCATTGATTCAATAGGTGTACTCTACTGTAATTTAAGGGGACGTGGTGGCGCTGCAGGCTAAACAGCAGAAGCCTGTGCTGCAAGGTCAGAAGACCAGCAGTCGTGTCTAAGTGTGAGGCCATGTGACCACGGAAGATTGTCTTCAGACGAAACGCTGGCTCTATGGCTTGGAAACGGGGATGAGCACCACCCCCTAGAGTCGAACACGACTGGACAAAAATTGTCAAGGGGAACCTTTACCTTTACCTTTACTGTAATTTACTGTGCTAAGCAACAGGATTTGGACCACTGAGAGACATAATGTGTATTTATGCTACTGCAAACGATACATAGCCAGCCACCCTTGATGGTCTTCCTCCATTAATTTATCCCATCCTCTCTTCAAGTAATTCAACTTGGCAGTCATCACTACATATTTAGGGTTTGAACTATGGATTAAGGGAGGATTTCACTCTCATTATCCCTCACTATTGGCTATGCTGGCTAGGACTGATGGGAATCGTTGTCCACCAACATCTGAATGACCACAGGCTATACACTCTGATTTATTCCAACACCCTATTTACAACATAGATCAAATGGATGGCTCTGGAGGTTCACATATATGAACAGGGCATGAGCACTGTCTAGACAGGATGCATGGCAGGGGTGGAGAAGAAATACAAGCAGTGGGGGAAGCAAAAAGAAATCTCAACATAGATCAAATGGATGGCTCTGGAGGGTCACATATACTGTATGAACAGGGCATGAGCAGTCTCTAGACAGGATGCTTGGCAGGGGTGGAGAAGAACATACGAGTGGGGGAAGCAATAAGAAATCCTCAATATCAACTAATAGACACCACCAGTCCATAAATGGGAAATATCTGACTCTCTATTGCTGAATTGTAACTGATGCCATCCCTTCTGAGCTTGGGATAATGGGAACTGGAGTTGTGAGTCATCCATATGAAAGGTGCCTCATCCTGGGTTTTTTTCCTGGAAACTCCAAGTGTAATAAACCCACTTGTTAGGAACTGTTAACAGAAATCCTTCATTTTTCATACATGTTGCTTCAGTTGATTTTGCTGTCATCTTACCAGCAGGAGCTCCTCTGCGGACTGTTGATGTTTCTCCTCCATATTCTGGATCAGATCACCAAGAGAGGAGAGCTTCTTGGTGAGTTTGGTGAGGTGCTCATCCCTTCTCCTTACAATGACTTTCTCCAGTTCTTTAACCTGGGCCAGCAGAAGCTTCTCATGTTCTTCCAGAAACTGGTGTAGCTGCCTGAACTCAGCCACTGCCTTTCCCCTCTCTGCGTCTGCTTTCATCTGCGAATGGAGAATCACATAAGGAGTATGGAAGCATACTTTTGCAATATTGAACAGTAGAATCCCCTAATAAGAGGAGTGGCTTGTGGATGGAGTAGGGGACAGTTTGCTGAGATGCTTCATCCTGTTGTAGTCACCCTATTACTAATAAAATGTATACATTTCCCATGAAGGCACATCAGCTGAAATCATGTTTCTTAGTGTAGTATGTCACAACTACAGCAAGACCACTGATTCAGTGGGGATTTGGTGGGTCAGCTTCTCTGTTAGGATCACTGATTCAACGGGTCCGCTCTAGTTGTAACTTACTATTTGAAGCATAGGCTTTCAGGCAATAACATTCAGGAGGGAAAGAGGTCCTGAAAGAATGGAAAGAACACAAAAACCCACACTCAGAACAGCTTTTCAGGAATGTTTCTGGAAAATTCCAGATGAGCCTCGTAGCGCAGTGGTTAAAACGCTGTACTGCAGCTAAAACTGTGCTCACGACCTGGGGTTCAAATCCCAGGTAGCCGGCTCAAGGTTGACTCAGCCTTCCATCCTTCCGAGGTCGGTAAAATGAGTACCCAGCTTGCTGGGGGGGCAATGTGTAGCCTGTATAATTAAAATTGCAAACCGCCCGGAGAGTGCTTGTAGCGCTATGAGGCGGTATATAAGTCCAATAAATAAATAAAATAATAAATAAAATGTGTTATTGAATGTGTTCTTGATACTTCTGGAACACATTGAGGTCATTCAGACTGACACCTATTCTAGGCTGAGGGACTACCTCATGGCTGTTTACCCTTCACCTTTTATATCTGACTTTTCATATCATACCTTAAGTTCCATTATTACTCCCAAATAGAATAGACCCACTGAATCAATGGACTTTACATCAGTGTTGATCTTCCAAGGTCTTCTCCCATGCTGCTGATTTACAAGGTCTGCTTTAACTAGACTGAGTCCATGGCTCTATCCCACTTACAAGCAGGTCTTGATATTCCTTTTCTGTGGCTATTTTAGATGCCAAAATGCTCTCTCTCTCACTCCTCAGGTTCTTCAACCAACAACTGATCCGATCCTGGAAGAGAAACGCACAGACACAAAAGTTCAAGTTTGCCTCTTATAAGGTTCTTGCAAACAGATAATTGATTCTCCCAATGTAACCCCTTGTGTGATCATGATACTGAGTAGTTTGGTATTAGCTTTTCTATTTAGTCTTTTCTGTATTCAAGAACCACGTTTCCTGAATTGACTTATTGTCCCATCTGTTTAATTTTGCTTTCCTATTCTTCCTCAGAATAGGAAACAAAAATACTGCCTCACAGGTTGTATGTGGACTTCTGGAGATCCTGGAAGAGAAACGCACAGACACAAAAGTTCAAGTTTGCCTCTTATAAGGTTCTTGCAAACAGATAATTGATTCTCCCAATGTAACCCCTTGTGTGATCATGATACTGAGTAGTTTGGTATTAGCTTTTCTATTTAGTCTTTTCTGTATTCAAGAACCACGTTTCCTGAATTGACTTATTGTCCCATCTGTTTAATTTTGCTTTCCTATTCTTCCTCAGAATAGGAGCCAAAAATACTGCCTCACAGGTTGCATGTGGACTTATGGATAATGAGCACTCAGGGTGGATTTCCTTCAGAATGGATAAGTTTGATCTCTTTGCAATCCATGGGGACCCCCAAGAGTGGATAAATGCCCAGTCCCAAATCCAGTCCTTTGACTCTGGTTGTCGCTACTGTGTCCGGTTTCTTCTTGAGCCTCTGGGAAAGCAGGGGGCTCAAGGTTCGGGAGTCTCCCTCTGTGTCTCGGTATAGGTTCTTCCTCTCCCTCTGACAGTAAGGATGTAACATCTTTACTTGTTAAAAGCTCCTCAGTTTCAAGGGACTCAGGCAATCACTTCCCTTCCCTTCAAACCATAACTTGGCACTGAAAAAAAGTTACTGTACCTTGCAGTCCAGGGGACTCTCAAGAGTGGATAAATGGCCAGTCCCAAATCCAGTCCTTTGGCTCTGGTTGTCGCTGTGTCCGGTTTCTTCTTGTGCCTCTGGGAAAGCAGGGGGCTCAAGGTTCGGGAGTCTCCCTCTGTGTCTCGGTATAGGTTCTTCCTCTCCCTCTGACAGTAAGGATGTAACATCTTTACTTGTTAAAAGCTCCTCAGTTTCAAGGGACTCAGGCAATCACTTCCCTTCCCTTCAAACCATAACTTGGCACTGAAAAGAAGTTACTGTACTGTACTTGGTGTCAGCTTCTCAAACTAGTTTGTTACTATTTTTGCCCCAGGGCAAGAAGGGGAGGAGTAATGGAGGCAAAATAGCAGCATAAGAGAGAGAAGCTGACAACAGAGGAGGACAGGGGAAGCAGCGTGGAAGGTTTTATGAGGAAATGTTGCTGTTTTCATGCTTGGGGTGGAGAGAAACACCAGAATTTTCTGGAAAAAAAGACCCTGGACGTCTGGTTAAGAAGAGCAAACCCCACCATTATGAAGAAGCAGTCCAGTATAGGGGTTTTGTAATGCGCCTCTTCAAATCACTCCTGTCTAAATCAGCCATGCATGTTTTTTGTTGTTGAATAAATATAAGCTAAAGGGAAGTTCCCGCAGAGCGAAGAGGGAGAGCTTAACTTCCTGGCTGGCTGATGTCCCAACTAAAAACTGACCACCCTTCTGAGCTGCTTTCTGCATGGAGGTGGAATACTTCCGTAGTAGAAAAAGTGTACATTTTAAGAAGAGAGTAAATCAGGTGCAGCCTAGATCTTGGATTTAAAGATACTGAGTTACGCACGAGTCATATAAAATTGCTTACATGTTGCCCGTTCCTTTCATTTCTCTGCCGATATAATTACAATGGTTTATATATGTTCCCTGTGTGTATTTTTTTCCCATGTATTTTATATTTTTATCTTTATTTGTTTAATAGTCTTATAACTATTTATATTTTGTCAAAGTAGGGGTTAGCTCTGTGGTCCGAACAAAATTAAATGCAAAAAAATGTGCAATATGTACCTTTTTGACCACTAGGAGGAAAAAAAATCTATTTTTCCATTTGTCTTTGTTTTGTGTATCTGTTGTTGAGGTACTGTTTACACCGCAAATGTATTGATTTTGGAGTGGTGGGTCCCACGAGGAAAGAGCTGCTGGGGAAATCAGACCTGGTGTCTTCCACAGGGAAGTCTCCTTTTCTCAGCCATTTCCTAAAAAAGTAAATTAATCCCCATGTTTGCAATGTGCCACCTGGGATGGGGTGGGTTTCCTACCTGGTACTCCTGGGCGGCCTCCTCCAGAGGTACCACCTGGTGATCTCGGTGCTCTTTGGCTCGGTCGCAAACCACGCAGATCAGGGCTTGGTCGTCCTGGCAGAAGAGCTTGAGGGGCTCCTGGTGCTTCTCGCAGGATCCCCTTTTCCTTTCCTCGGCGGCGGCCGCCACCCCCTTGACCCCCTGAAGACTGAGTTTCTTAGTGATGATCTCCACGAAGTTGGCCAGGGGCCGGTTGGGGATGAGGCTCCGGGGCTGAACGGCGACCCTACACTGAGGGCAGGGAGCCTCTTGCTCCGATTTCCCCCAACAACGAGCCAGGCAGGCTTGGCAAAAATTGTGCCCGCACTGGATGGTGACCGGATCCTTGAAATAATCCAGGCAGATGGCGCAGGTGGCTTCCTCGCAGAGATCCCGGAGGGGATCTCCTCCTGCAGCCATTTCCCTCCCCCTTTTTTTTAAATCACAAGGGAAAAGGAGCGATCGCTCGTTTACTTTCACTTTTCTGGCATTGAGAGTGGGTGTTGCCTCAGGCGGAACTCAGTGAATACCGGTAAGTCATTTACATATAAAAAGGACGGGAATAAGTCTCTTTTTAATCACGTTAAAACAAGATCATTTTAAAGGAGGCCCCGTGAATCAGCGATTTCCAAAAGGTCCCGGTCCTCAGGAACCTGCCTCAGCTATTGCAAACTCAAGCCTGTGGGTTCCTTTAGGGAGTCGATCCATCTCGTGTTTGGTCGTCCTCCTTTCCTGCTGCCTTCCACCTTTTCCAGAATTAGAGAGTATCATGATGTGCCGGACATTTGAACCTCCAGAGATAATTCAGGCTTGATTTGATCTAGGATCCACTTGTTTGCTTTTCTGGCAATCCAGGGCGTCCGCAAAGCTCTCCTCCAGCACTACATTACAAAAAGGAATCATTTTTTCCCGTCACCGTTCTTTACTGTCCAACCTTCGGAAAGGTAGATTAAATAAACTCAGTCTGTCAACTACTGACTCTTTTGTCAACAATCTGTCAACTATTTAATTCATGGTTTTAATTGTTTTATGAATAGTTGTTTCTGGCAATCCAGGGCGTCCGCAAAGCTCTCCTCCAGCACTACATTACAAAAAGGAATCATTTTTTCCCGTCACCGTTCTTTACTGTCCAACCTTCGGAAAGGTAGATTAAATAAACTCAGTCTGTCAACTACTGACTCTTTTGTCAACAATCTGTCAACTATTTAATTCATGGTTTTAATTGTTTTATGAATAGTTGTATTCTGAGCCACCCTGAGTAGACATAGTCTAGAAGGGCGGGATAAAAATCAAATAAATAAATAAATAAATAAATAAATAAATAAATAAATAAATAAATACATCTCTCATCATCTGAAACCAACATAGCCAATAGTACAGAGTGCTTTAAGTCACAGTGCTAACCAAAGGTTTAGGACTACATTCTGCCCATTCTTGCTATACAAGAAGGGAAGCATCTACCAGCGGCAGATAGAAAAAAATTGGATACAAACCTTTTGGATTTTGTTTGGTTTGGTATTTGGAGGTTCTTAAAATTACTGTAGGGAGGCTGCAACCAAAGGTGGATAAATACAATGAATGGTTGAATGGCTTAAGGGAGGGGGGGTCTAGTTGCTCTGTGTCAAGCTTTTGCTAGGGGAAAATACGTGGGAAAGAAGCCAGGTGCCATTTCTCTGCCTGGGAAGTAGATTTGTTTTGTCTGCCATCATTTGTCTTCAAGGTTGCAGTCAAGAGTGATAACCACCTGATTCCATCTAAATTGCTTGCTAGCATGGGAATGAGAGGCTGAACTCTGGAAAATTACAAGGTAGGGCATGGACTTCAGAACAAATAATTTTAATGGTTTTTGTGGTTTTTTCGGGCTCTAGTAATTTGTAATTTTAATGTGTTCTTAAAGGCTTTCACAGCCAGGTTCTGATGGTGGTTGTGGGTTTTTTGGGCTGTTTGGCCATGTTCTGGAGGTTTTTCTTCCTAATGTCTCTGTCCATCTTCAAAGGACAGGAGCTAGAACTCTGTGTACTGGTGGGGTGTGTGGGATAGTTGAGTACAGTATTTGTAGGTGCTATGAAATCCTATTTCAAGATGCAAAAGTACTGGACTACACCAGCAATCATTATGTTAGACACTGGGAAGCCACTGAAATCAACAAACACCAGCACAGCTTCAACAAAAAATAAAGTCTAAAACTCAACAAAGCCTGGCTCACAGCACTGAAAAATACAGCCTGAGAAAAGGTCAGTGAACTCTACCCAGCCACAAGGACAGGTGATCACTGCATGCAAAAGACTAACTAACAACACCCATCAATCACAGTGACAGATAATCTCCCCCCCCCCTTATCACAACAAGACACCCATAACAAAAAAACACCCTAATCATAGGAAACACCCAATCTCCTGAAAAGAACAAAAACCCTGATCCCACAGCTACAAATACTCAACAATCCCACACAGACAGAGTTCTAACTCCTGTCCTCTGAAGACGCCGGCCACAGAGACTGGCAAAACGTTAGGAAGAAAAGATCTCCAGAACATGGCCAAAGAGACTGGAAAAAAAAACCAAAAAATTTTAAGGGTTCTGATGGTGGTTGTGGGTTTTTTGGGCTGTTTGGCCATGTTCTGGAGGTTTTTCTTCCTAATGTCTCTGTCCATCTTCAAAGGACAGGAGCTAGAACTCTGTGAACTGGTGGGGTGTGTGGGATAGTTGAGTACAGTATTTGTAGGTGCTATGAAATCCTATTTCAAGATGCAAAAGTACTGGACAACACCAGCAATCATTATGTTAGACACAGGGAAGCCACTGAAATCAACAAACACCAGCACAGCTTCAACAAAAAATAAAGTCTAAAACTCAACAAAGCCTGGCTCACAGCACTGAAAAATACAGCCTGAGAAAAGGTCAGTGAACTCTACCCAGCCACAAGGACAGGTGATCACTGCATGCAAAAGACTAACTAACAACACCCATCAATCACAGTGACAGATAATCTCCCCCCCCCCTTATCACAACAAGACACCCATAACAAAAAAACACCCTAATCATAGGAAACACCCAATCTCCTGAAAAGAACAAAAACCCTGATCCCACAGCTACAAATACTCAACAATCCCACACAGACAGAGTTCTAACTCCTGTCCTCTGAAGACGCCGGCCACAGAGACTGGCAAAACGTTAGGAAGAAAAGATCTCCAGAACATGGCCAAAGAGACTGGAAAAAAAAACCAAAAAATTTTAAGGTAATTAGATACTATCACCATGCAGAGACTTTGATTTAAGTCGTAGAAAGAGGGGACTGAGATGAAGTGTGTATGCCTAAGAAGGAGGAGGGAGTAACAGGTTTTACAATCTTCAATGATTGACTGAGGGACTTGGCAATAATTAGAATAGAACTGTAATTAAGTAGTAAAGCTGTTATGGACTAGTTAGCCAGACTTTTATTGTTTTTTCGGGGATTTGTTTCCAAAAGCTCAGCTAATCCTTTAGAGGCTTGTACTTTTGAATACCTAATGTTTTATGCAATTTAAAATGTTTTAATATTTTTTAAAGTCTTGTTTTATATTTTACTCAAGTGTGATCCTTGGGGGAACAAAGGATTGAGTGTCTAAAGAAAGTGCCTTAGCCGCAGGGCTATGCTGTCTATTTTTGTTATTTGGATGTCCTACCTGATCGGGCTGGTGTGCAAGGCTTAAAGTTCACAGTCAACAGAATTTTGTGTAAAAATAAGGGGATAAATGGAAATCCAGGGTTTCCCATAGGTGCCAATTTACACACCTTCTAGGTTTCAACTAGCCTAGGGTTCAAAGGGTGGTGGAAACTGGAAACTAAAGTTGACATCTTCTCCTGAATAGCACCCTTTTAGGAGGGGTGTCCCTGATGGGAGCCAGATACACTTTCAGCCTCCCATGCAGATTTTTTTTCTACCCTGAACCAGCCACTCTTTCTGATGATCACATAGACTTGCTGTCCCCTATTAACAGAATCATTACAATTATTCACAAACCTTTTATATATTTTAAAAAAGTTGGTACTGATTATTCGGTATTTGGTTGGATGCATTTTACCTGGTTTTTAATTTGGGTTTTCCCTGGCTGGTGCTGCCATGGAGCATGATTGTTACTCTTGGCTTGCAGACCCCTTAAATCAACCAATTCATTCATCTGTCCACTTCCTCCAACTTGGATCAGATGGAAACTCCTGCCTTTTGCAGCTGTCATGGCAACGGACCTGATAGTCTAGTTTCACAAAGATTACTTCATCCGTTGCATCCATCTACTTTTGCTAGGAAGTTAGCCTCCCAAGTACTCCTGTACTTCCTTATGAAGCATCTGTACTGCTTTACAAAACATCTATCGCTAGAGGAATGCTCAGGCTTGTTTGTTCCTTGCATCCTAATTCACATTGCTATCTGACACATGAGAAGGGTGTCGTGGAGGCAGGACCTATAGGGTCAAAGTCCCAGAACATCCTGAGAAACAAGAGACTGGGACACCCTGTGAGGGTGTGATCAGACTGATGGAAAAATCCCCCTTCTTTTACTATTTAATACATATATCTTTTGTTTGTTTGTTCAGTCGTTTAGTCGTGTCCGACTCTTCGTGACCCCATGGACCAGAGCATGCCAGGCCCTCCTATCTTCCACCGCCTCCCGGAGTTGTGTCAAATTCATGTTGGTTGCTTCGATGACACTGTCCAACCATCTCATCCTCGGTCGCCCCCTTCTCCTCTTGCCTTCACACTTTCCCAACATCAAAGTCTTTTCCAAGGAGTCTTCTCTTCTCATGAGATGGCCAAAGTACTGGAGCCTCAGCTTCAGGATCTGTCCTTCCAGTGAGCACTCAGGGTTGATTTCCTTTAGAATTGATAGGTTTGTTCTCTTTGCAGTCCAGGGAACTCTCAAGAGTCTCCTCCAGCACCACAATTCAAAGGCATCAATTCTTCGGCGGTCAGCTTTCTTTATGGTCCAGCTCTCACTTCCATACAACACTACAGGAAAAACCATAGCTTTGACTATTTGGACTTTTGTTGGCAAGGTGATGTCTCTGCTTTTTAAGATGCTGTACAAGGTTTGTCATTGCTTTCCTCCCAAGAAGCAGGTGTCTTTTAATTTCGGGGCTGTGATTTCTGCAGTGATCATGGAGCCCAAACGTTAGGAAGAAAAGATCTCCAGAACATGGCCAAAGAGACTGGAAAAAAAAACCAAAAAATTTTAAGGTAATTAGATACTATCACCATGCAGAGACTTTGATTTAAGTCGTAGAAAGAGGGGACTGAGATGAAGTGTGTGTGCCTAAGAAGGAGGAGGGAGTAACAGGTTTTACAATCTTCAATGATTGACTGAGGGACTTGGCAATAATTAGAATAGAACTATAATTAAGTAGTAAAGCTGTTATGGACTAGTTAGCCAGACTTTTATTGTTTTTTCGGGGATTTGTTTCCAAAAGCTCAGCTAATCCTTTAGAGGCTTGTACTTTTGAATGCCTAATGTTTTATGCCTTTTAAAATGTTTTAATATTTTTTAAAGTCTTGTTTTATATTTTACTCAAGTGTGATCCTTGGGGGAACAAAGGATTGAGTGTCTAAAGAAAGTGCCTTAGCCACAGGACTATGCTGTCTATTTTTGTTATTTGGATGTCCTACCTGATCGGGCTGGTGTGCAAGGCTTAAAGTTCACAGTCAACAGAATTTTGTGTAAAAATAAGGGGATACGTGGAAATCCAGGGTTTCCCGTAGGTGCCAATTTACGCATCTTCTAGGTTTCAACTAGCCTAGGGTTCAAAGGGTGGTGGAAACTGGAAACTTGAGGTGGCATGATTTGAACTGGTTAATGCTCCTCCCCTCTCCACTTCTGAGGTTCCAGGTAGAAAATCTATTAGCCTTCAGTAAGCCCCATATTATTATAAAATCCATATTCTTGTGCCAAGTTGTAGTCTCCCCCCCCTCTCCAGGTACAAAAAAAGAGAACTGGTCCTTGCCAGAGTAAAATGCACCTGCATTTTTACAACAAGATGGCCAGAAAAGCATGCATCAGATCCCACCGGACTCACTTTGCCAGGAATGATACTAGAAGGGATGATACTAGAAGGAAGACCTTTAGATCTGAAAGTGTGGGGAAAGTTTTACTCACACGTCACTGCTTGCGAACCACCACAGAGTCAATGAAGGAGAGAAAGCATTCAAATGCAAGGAGTGTGGGAAATGTTTTGCTTCCAGTTCAGTTTTTGTGATCCATCAAAGAATTCACACAGGAGAGAAATCCTACAAATGTTGTGATTGTGAAAAATGCTTTGCTTAGAATTCGCAGCTAATGGTACATAAGGCAGTCCACACCGGGGGAAAACCATATAAATGTCAGGAGTGTGGGAAATGCTTTGTTCAGAATTCACACCTTGTGACACATCAGAAAGTTCACACTAGAGAGAAACCATATAAATGCCAGGAGTGTGGGAAATGTTTCGCCCAAAATTCGCACCTTGTGACACATCAGGCTGTCCATGCAGGAGAGAAACCATACAAATGCCAAATGGGTGAGAAATGTTTTCCTTGCAGTTCACAGCTAGTATCCCACTAGAGAGTTCACATGGCAGAGAAACCATACAAATGCCAGGAATGTGAGAAATGTTTCCCTTGCAATTCTCAACTTGCAGCCCACCAGAGAATCCACTCAGAAAACAACCCACACAAATACCATTTAACTATTGCAATGGTGAAACCATTTTTTTAAAATCAGAGTCTTGACTCTGACGTACAGTATGTAACCTTAAGGCAGCCATTTAAATGGAGATATTTGAAGATATGGGAAATGGGATCCTACTCACTTCCAAACCAGGTGTTTCATTGGGTGCCGAAGAAACCCAGGTTACTCGAAACTATTCCAGTGTCTCTGGCTAAATGTTGATCTAACATGGTGTACAAAGATCTTACTGATCTCCTTGGGAAATTGCTCTCCTACCTGTTTTTACTTGCCCACTTGGGATCTGATGTCTTTTTACTCCATGCAGACCAAATACCTTGCATTTGATGGTATTGAAAGAGTATTGGATGTGCCCAGATGGATT